GCCCACTCATCCTTGGGACAGCAAAATTCCTACCAGAGTAGCTGAGCAAAATTATTCGGGTGCCATAGGCAGTTTATTTGGTACCCAGAAATAAGCATTACATTTTCTCAAAGTATTTATCCATCAGCGTTCATGCACACACACACACACAAACAGTTTCATGCGCTCAAACCATTTGGTGAAAGAGCGCCACCACATGCTAAATCGGGTAAACCTTCGACTAGTTCGATTAAGGACTCCACTACAACTGTTGGTGATTCGTATCGGATTCCACGCATCATGCGCTTGACATTTGAGAACACAAAAAGTCCACACGGAGCCAGGTCCGGACTGTAGCGTGGGTAGCAAACCTCCTGAATGCATTTGCCAGTCAGGAAATTGCCGACCACATGGAACCTGTGTGCAGATACGGTTTCACAGTGCAGCAAGTTCCCTCATGTTCGAGTCCTTGGATGACACCTGATAATCTGTTTGCAGCACTTTCGGTAGACAGTGGGTGGCGTACCAGTGTTCACTGAATGCGCTTCGCTATAAGAACCGGCACAGTAGCCGGTTTTGGCCACGAAAGCAGCTACGATCTGCTTTGCCACACTGCGCTCGCGTCGGAAATTCTGAGACCACGGTTCACTAGCCGATGTTCACTTAGCTGACTTTTGCTTGGTCTCTGGGTCGAAACTGTACACCCAGGTCTCATCATCACGGAGGCACTCCCAAAGTGTATTGGAACGTCCACCATCATACCTAGCAATCATGGTGCGGCACCAATTCACCCGGGAACTGCTGTTTTCTGTTCCTCACTGACAGGGCTAGGGGTACCCAGTGTGCGCAAAGCTTTCTGAGGCCCAGGTGCTCATTTAAGATGGTACAGATTGATTCCGATAAGATCCCAGTGGCTTTCACCAGCCTGGTTACTGTCATTCACGCATTATCCTCTGCTATCGCTTGCACAGCAGCAATTTCGTCCACTGTGGTGGCCTCCACAGGACAACCACACCGTGTCTTATCATCCAGGGATTATCTGCCACACTTGAATTCCGCAAACCACGGAAACACAAGGCTTCTTGAAGGCACATCATCACCAAAGGCAAAGTCGCAAACGATTGACACTCTGCGGCTACTACTGGTTTAAACCACAGTTTAGTCGTATAAAATCATCGCCCTCCTGTATGACATCGACTGAGCTCTATCCTTATGACAGTCCGAGTATACAGCGACCCTCGTGTATAACTTGTGAGCTGTACTGTACTCGGTTGTGTTGATATTTGGTTCTGCAATCACTGAACCATATTTCCGGTAGAGCGCAATTTACGTTTTCCTTGCCCCCGGTCATCGATCGCAATTCGCGCTCGTGTACGACTGGCATAGATTGACGGGCCCACATTTCATATTTGTAACTGGGTTAAGAAAAACTGCGGGGACTTTTCAACTACAAAGACTCGGGTAATAAATTGGCAGGAAATAGATCAGTTTTTTTTCAACTCATATTTCACAATCTCCCATCAAATCTGTCCGTCGACCATGATTACTCGTGAAGCATTTACAGCCGTAGGACAATTAGAAAAGAGAGAAAACGGTTGTTATTGTTATTGAAATGACATGAGCAGCGGATAAATCATGGTAACATGGAATGAAATATTTCATATGAAATATTTGAATCACAGTTTTCTGAAAAAAACTCTGGAA